ATCTTTTTCAGTTACAAGTTCTCTGATGACTGAGTATTAAATAAAATTTTGGTTCTTTGATAATGTGAGGCAGAGAGTATACTGGTGTAAATGCTGTGGCAGATATTTACTGCACTGAAGGTACTTTTGAATGAAGAAATGGTTGGAACTTTTACAATTTTCCATCTTTAAAATAATTTGACCAGTTTGCATGTAGGAGTTAAATCCACACGGTTACTACATGCTTCAAATCACACAGTTCCCTTAGGACATGTAGGCCTACCTCTGGTGTGATTTTCAATACATTCCAAGAGAATACTTCCAAAAATTAATCCCGCTGTAGTGTGGCCTGCTTCTTTGCTTAATAACCAGGACCAGCTCAGTGAGGGTTAATTCTTGAGCTAAATTTTAAAGTAACATAGCCCTACACATACAACAAAGGCAAAGTAAAAAATCTGCATGTTTACTGTCCCCACCCGCTTCTTTTTTGAGGCCACCTGGTTTTTTTTTTAAATTTATTGTTTTAGAAAAGCACAAAAATGAACAAAATACATTCTTTTTCCAGGGAAACAAGGAAAAGATTCCATTTCAACCCTTAAGAAGCTGATGTCATATTCTGAGTCCAAGCGGAGCCCATTCAAAAGAAAAAAGCTGGCGGCTATTTTGAAAAATCGTGGTAAAAAAAAAGGGCTGGCCGCTTCCCTCTTTTCCCCAGAGGCAGGATGCTGAACATGTATATTTTTTTTACTTTGCCTAACTTATAAAAAAGTTAAGAATGTTTAACACTTAGATTGTGTGTTTGTTAATGTTTGTTTTCTGTTGTATGTTTTTAGGTGAAGGTATTTGTGGTGAAGTGCTACCTCTGTCTTTAACTGAATTAATGGAACTCGCACCTCGTATCGGCCCTCGTCGAATATTGCAGAAAAGGATTCCTCAACTTCTAGGATATGTGGTAATTGTTTGAATAGCCTGCCTCTTGCATAGAAAAATGCCATATCAGTGCTTAATATGTCCTTTTCGGGCAAATGCAGAAGTTTGTTTTTCAGAACATCTCATATCAAAGCACAAGCATGATCCCGGCTTCATTGTAAAATGTGGTTATTGTGAATCGACATATGATAAATATGATTCTTTTCGCAAGCATATATACCGTAAACATCAAACCGATTTGACACTGGAGAGAGATGTTTTTGTACATGAGCAGGGTGATCAAGATAGTTTACCATATTATATCAATGAACTTGATGATGATGAAAATTCCAGCAAGTGTACTTCAGTGGGGCAATGCGCATCATACATTCTGCAGTTACAAACCAGTAAAAATTTGTCACAAACTGCTATAGATGATGTTGTTAACAACACCAGAGAACTTATTTCAAACATAAATTCTGTGAACTGCCAGAAAGTGATGGCACATCTAGAATCTTCAGGTGTTAATACAGGTGATATTGACCTTGAAGGTATTTTTAAGGCTGACCCTTTCATTGGACTTGAAACAAAGGCTCAACAGGACAAATACTTTGCCAGTAAGATGGGTTACATTGCGCCAGTGGAAGTTGAAATAGGTACAAAATTTGTCGTAAAGAAGATGAAAAACAACAAACGTGCAGTGTTTTCAGAGAATGTGAATGGCTATTACGTGCCATTTTGGAAATCTCTGGAAGGTCTTCTGAAACACAATGAAGTTGCTAAAGAAGTTGTGAAAGGGCATTCCTCGAATGATGGATTCATGTATGACATATGTGATGGGTCTTATGTTGCAGACCATCGTCTATTTCAAGACAATATTCAAATTGTGATGTACACTGATGATATTGAAATTGTGAATCCAATAGGCTCCCATGTAAAAAAACACAAGCTGTCAATGTTTTATTGGTCTCTTGCCAATATACGTCCGGCATATAGATCAAAGTTGTCTGCAATTAACTTGCTTGCTGTTGCCAAAACAGCTGATTTGAAGAATGAAGCAGCTGCCTTTCACAGTGACTCACCTGCATTACGTAAGCTCCTTGAAGAGTTCAGGTTATCACTTAATAAGCTTGCAGCTGATGGGATACAATTCTATCATAATGGCAAGGAGTACAGGAAGAAAGGGGGGCTTGTGTGTGTACTGGGAGATACGCCTGCACTACACATCATTGGTGGATTTAAGGATGGTGTGTCATTTGCCTACAAAAAATGTAGAACCTGTGAATGTGCTGGTGATGAGTTTACACAGCATTTTACCGAGTCAAAGTTTACTCTCCGAAAGGAAGAAGAGCACAGAGAAAGATGTGAGACCCTGAAAACACTCAGCAAGGAGGCACAGATATACTGGTCTAAGCATTATGGAATCAATAGTTCAAGTGTTCTTTTGAGGTTTCCATCCTTCAATGTTACTGAATGCCTAATGCATGATGTAATGCATACATTCTTTGAAGGCTTAGTCCCACGTGAAGTATCACTTCTTCTTCGTCATTGTATTTCTGAAGGATATTTCACACTTGATCAGTTCAATGCCACTGTAAAATCATTCAGCTTTGGTATTCGCTGGTCAAAAAACAAACCATGTAGCATTACCCCCCAAAACCTTCTTCCTGGACACCATTTAAAGCAGGATTCAGCACAGACATGGTGTTTGACTCTACATTTACCTCTAATCATAGGTCACCTGGTTCCACTGAATAATCCTAATTGGATGAATTTCATTCGTTTAGTGCAGATTATAACACTCTGTACTTCCCATCGAGTTGATGCATCAACAGCAGGAGCGTTAGAGCAGCTAATTGCTACTCACCAGTTGAAGTACACACAGTTGTATCCTGATGAACCTGTTACACCCAAAATGCACTATTGCGTGCACTTACCTAAGCAAATGCAGAAATTTGGGCCTCTTCGTAATCTGTGGGCAATGCGAATGGAGGCAAAGCATTCCCAGGCCAAGAGTAGAAAATGGAGAAATTTCCGCAATGTTCCCTACTCAGTCAGTGTACACTACCAGAAGTGGATGTGTGGGAAAATTTCCTCTGGTGATGGTGGTGACCTGCCCTACTTTGTACATGAAGCAGACAAAGTGAAGGACGGGATAGATGAAGTCATAGATGGGCATCATCAATTACATTCTGTCCTTATGGCAGCTCATCCCGAACTTGACGTAGATGTTCCTGTGGTGGTAATGTCCACACAAGAAGTTACCATCAATGCTATCACATACAGAGTTGGAGATGTTCTCTACTATCAAAGAGAGAAAGACATCAAGCACTTTGGTAAAATTGCTCATATCTTTGTTGAAAACATGCAAAAGTACTTCCAGTTGAAAAAGCTGTCAATTGTGACATTCAATTCACACCTGAACAGTTACGAGGTAAAATTCACACATGATGATGTGTACGTTTACCCAATACCCGAAAAACTTTGGTATCCATGGCCTATCATTTTCTGCAAGAATTCCACCAAGTTATTTGTCTCACTAGAAAGTGATATTGATCTAGAACAGTTGTAACTCAGGCTATTGACTTTAGCAGAATGCAGAATTGGACGATGCTTCCATGCATCCCATCAAGAGCAACAGTTACACTGACAGTACCTCTACAAGTTCAAAACAAGCATCCTCTAGCATGGCAAGTGCAAGTAGTAGTGCACAGAGTGCTGAAGATGAAGTTGCTTCTCAGGAGTCTCCTGGAAAATCATCTGGTGAGTGAATATTCTTTCACAAGGGAATGATGGCATTAATCACTCATCACTATTATGTTAAGTGCTGGTCCATTTTGCCTGTATGTAATATCTTGCACAAATCTGTGTGGTGTGGCGGGGAGGGGAGGGGGGTGTCAGGTTCCGGAACTCCACTCATCAGGACATGTGACATTTGGGGTGCACCACACATTTGTATAACTTTGTACGGCTTATTATTAAAAAAGCTCTCTTTTTAGTGCTTTTGATTTATTATATGTCATGCATAATCATTTATCATTTTGTAAATTGCAGATGAAACAGTGATGTTGGATGACTCAGATATCTGCGGGACCTTGAAGCTGGTGTATCCCTGTGAACTACCAAGATTCTCCAAGGTAGTGCTTCGTGCTCTTCGTAATGGTGATGTCTACAAAGAGTGGGACCTATTTGTGAGAGAAGCTGCCATCTTCTACTTGCCTGATATGCCATCATCAGATGGCCTCGCACGGATCGCCTACCACAACATTGGAAGAAGCATGTTTGAGAAGTATCCGTGCATCAAAAGTGCTGGACAAAATGCATGGGTGAGTACATGCATCTTTCACATACATAGTGTGAACTTTCCTTTGTTCTCCTGTAGTTAAAAAAACTCTGGAAAATCTTGCCTTTTCTCACCCTATGATGACTCTTTTGTGCTGGATTTTTTATCGTGATTCCCTGGGCTACTCCACTTTATGCTCCCATGGATAACCCCTTAAAATGTCTGACATGTTTTTCAGGCAGGGTTCTGTTTTGCCTCAACCCCACTTCCCCGCAAGCTGGATGCTGATTTCCAAACATTAATATCAAGGTTCATGGTCATTAACTATGCTAAGTTCTGTCTTTAATCAGTCACACTTCAACAAGTGTTTGAGTTCAAAGATCCGGTGGGAACGCCAAAAGCGGCAGAAGGTACAGAAGCGCAAAGCATCTTCCACCAGTGTTTCCACCATGAGTAAGCGAAATGCACCAGCAACAGCTACATGCCCACAAGGATCGCCACCAACACCAGAAACACCAGCCACTGCTTCACCAGCACCAGCAATTCCCTCTGTAGAAGTCCCATTCAGTGAGCCGATCTCTGAAGAGGTTTATTCGGCACATGTTGCTGAAATTCAGGTAATAATCAAGAGGGTTAAGGTATTCATGTTAGCAGTGCCCCACCTCTTAATGTCTATTTGTGCCCAAATTCATCCCCCCACCTCTAATCAAGAGGAGAGCAGGGTATGCACTTTGTTTCAAATTTAAACCAATTTGCAGCCCTTGGAAAATACACACCTGCCTTAAACCTGTGTGTCCATTGATTAACCCCTGTTACACTCCTTGTAACATATGAACTACAGTTTAATATGCTGTGGTCTTAAAGTTTTTCTGCATTTTTTCACATTGGATAACACATGTTGATAAATGTAATACAGGGTTCTAGAAACGGCCTGCCTTTCATTTGTTATTACAAGCTCATGCAATGCTTTGCAACACACTTCTTGTAATAAACTTTCATTTTTAACCATAGTTTGTCCTGCATTTTGTTTTAACCAATCAGAGAGTGTTCAACAACTGCCAAAAGAAAGACGGTGCATGTACTTCTTCGATGAATGCCCACATGAACAAACTTCTCAGGGAGACCTTTCCCAAACGGAGACAAATCATAAACAGCCCTGAACCCATGAACACATTGCAACTTGTGGATCAACTGTGGACTGACTTCCCTTGTTTGAAATTTGAAACTTTCGTAAGTAAAGATATTGGAATTTGGCCCCTCCAGTGTGATTTTTTTCTGCACTGCAAGAAAAAACTTAAACAGCCCACCCAAGTACCTCAGTGATAATTGCTTTCTAAATGTGCATGATTGAGCCACAAATGTCTCTCAGTCTAGTATACATGTAAATTTGCAGTAATCCTTTTTTCCAGCCTGTAATTAATAATTTATTTTCAATAACAGGAATTGTATGTGTGGCTACCCAACAAGAGAATCATTGTGTCAGACCTTTTGTTATGCATTGAGGTCTGTTTTGTTTTGTTGCCTTTCATACAGTTTCTGGAAGAGATCAGAGGTATGAACCTTAACCTGGAGACATACTACAACCTCCACTACTCTGAAGTTTTGGGACACCTTGGTGACCTGTATGGTATACCTCATGATGTAAGTACATAGAGTTATGAAATTGAGACATTCTACAAATGTTTGTAAGTTTTTTATGTTGCTGTACACTCTTCATTTCATAACTGTTTTTGGATTGTGACATTTGTGTGACTCATGCAACTACTAAAAGAAGTCACAATATAAATAAAATCTTGCATGTTTGGCCATTTAAACTTTTTGTTCAAAGTTAATCATGTCGCTGAGCACTACTGCATATTGTTGCTTGTACCGTGCATGCATGGAGATTTCCCTTGTTGCACCACTGACTGAAGCCAATATATCCTTGGGGTGAATAAGCTTTGCTGTGCTTGTGCGTAATGAAATAGATGGATCAGCTGTGTAACAAAAACCAAAGTGGCCATTTCAAAGCACTAAGAAAGTGGACCCTGGAGAAATGCTTCGATTGCGAAGAGTGAGTGAGGAATCGTAGACAATCTTAACTACTGGCAAGAAAAACCCAAAGGTTGTAAATTTGGTACTTTTTACATATACATGTAATTTTCTTGCAGACGGATTATGACCAGTTCCTCATCTGGCAAGAGACTGAGAACAGATTGAACAAGAGAGGAAAGAATCTCAAACTGATCAAGGGAGTGGAGGTAATAATAAGGGCATAATATGTTTTGTTGGCCTGTTAGAAGTAGTTTACTACAGGAGCCTAATGAGGACAATCATTGCCTACCAAGCCTCTACCTGGTTTTGAATCTGATGCTTCATGCTGCTCCATACCATCTTTTATTCATATCAACATTGTTACCGGGGTGTGCATGGAAGGGGTATCCAGGGTACCAGTTTGTTGTGGCAGATAGTGGGAGTTCTTTACTGGACAGCAGGACATTAAATGCACTGTATTTACTGAACTGGTTGCCAAGGGTGAGACCCCCTCCATTGGATGCGGCCACTG